ATCCCTGTATCTGGTGAGTGACTTTATTTTTGCACAGCCATGGTTTTGTGCAATGCTGGCAGTTCTCCGTTCCTCTGTTTTCTCTAAGAACTGAAATAGACTCGACTGCCTGTCATAATTTGAGTGTATATGGTTCATGCCCTTCCTTAGGGTGAAGTCCATTCTATTCACCTGTTCCCCCTTATGAGGTACTTCACGGAATGCCGAGATCAGACTCTCTCAGTCCCAAATATATACATTTTACTTATTTCCCCAACGTAAGGCAGCCTTATATCTAAGTGTGTATGGATGTACAAGCAAATGTACAGATGTGTCTTCATTTGGGTTCTTCCAGAAGCCAACCCTGAAATAAGGATTTGCGAGCTATTAGGGTATTTGGAACATTATCCGAGGAAACAGTAGTGAAGGGCAGCACCGATGGGTTGTGTTAATTCTCCTGTACTTTCATACTGCAGTGCAAGAAGGAAGACCTAGCTCCAGCTATCAAAAAAGCCATTGGGCAAAGAGAAGCAAAGTGTGGCATTTAGAAGTCAGGAATCCATGCATTGTATGGTAAAACCCTAGAGCATATAGTGGGACACCAGAATCATTTGCAAGAGGATAGATACACCCAAATGGAGTAAGAGTAGAATCCACATCATCAGGGTGCTATGAGGATGAAATGTATATATATGTGTAAACCACATTGGGTCTATGTATGATAAGTATTCAGTAGGCATTATGATGTTATACCTATAATAATTAAGATTGTGATACATATTTTACCTATTTGTTGTATATTCATTTTTATTCTCTTAGTAATCATTCATTTCTGTGTTTTTTATGTATTCCTTATCTATTCCAGAAGTAATTTTCATGACTTACAATAATATATAAAATGTAAAAAAATTAAAATGTAGAAAAGAGAAAGAGAGACATTTGGAATTATAGAATGGATCAGTGAAGATGAAAAACAGCTATCACAGGGACCTGCACATTTGTTGTGACTGGCTAGACAGTTGTTTACAAGCTAGTTAAAAGACAATGTAAAAACAGCAAGATTGCAAGCCAAAACTAGCTTCTTATTTAATCTGAGCAAAAATGCCAATGGAAGAATTGAGAACCTCTTCTGAATTCAAGGGGCCTGGGTGTTTGAAAATCCAAGACAAGGAAAATTTTGGCCACATTTTCCATAAAGTTCATATTCTGTTACCAGGAGTAGAGAACCCATCAACATACGGTATGTGTTTGCCATTTATACCAAGATGCAGCGTGTGCATAGTTATGTGAGGTTTCTCCTGCTTCTGAAATCCCGAATAACGTTAGCATGCAGAAGGTATGTCTGTTCTTACAGACCCCTACAGCCCATAGAAAGAAGAGGTAGGTTAGTGGTTCTCAAACTTTCTGGTTCATGACACCCTTAATGTTTAGTAATACTTCTATGGGCACCGAAGCCAAAATTAATACCTCACAATTCCATTTATTAAGTAGTTAGGAGTTAAGTCCAAGAAATTGGAAAAGTATTTATGTTCTAGCAATAAGATAACTGTTGCAAATACAATTGACCCTTGAACAATGCAGGGGTTGGGGCACTGAACCCCCTCACAGTCGAAACCCTGTGTATAAATTTTGACTCCCCAAAAACTTGACTACTAAGAGCCTGCTGTTGACCAGAAGCCTTACCAATACCATAAACAGTCTATTAACACAACATTTTGCAAGTTATATGTATTATATACTGTATTCTTACAATAAACTAAGCCAGATAAAAGAAAATGTTATTAAGAAAATCATAAGGAGGGGTGCCTGGGTGGCTTAGTCGTTAGGTGTCTGCCTTTGGCTTGGGTTGTGATCCCGGGGGTCCTGGGATCGAGCCCCACATTGGGCTCCCTGCTCAGTGGGAAGCCTGCTTCTCCTTCTGCCCCTCCCCTCTGCTTGTGTTCCCTCTCTTGCTGTGTCTCTCTCTGTCAAATAAATAAATAAAATCTTTAAAAAAAGAAAATCATAAGGAAGAGAAGATAACATTTATAGTACTGGACTGTCCTTACGGAAAAAAATCTATGCACAAGTGGGCCTGCACAGTTCAAACCATGTTGTTCAAGGGTCAACTGTAATAATAATAATACACACAAATTTAAAGAAAAAATAATAGTTTATTTCTCAAATAAGACTGACAACGGGATGTGTTTTCTGTTGGACTCTGTATGCTAACCCTACTTCCAACACTTGCATTCCTTCAACTGAAAATAATCTCTGGCCTCAGAGCCCATGTTGTATAAAGCAGGTGAGAAGTGTCAGGGAATTAACATGTGCCAAGAGCACTCCCAGCCAACCAGTAGTAAGAGTCAGTGCGTGGATACCCTAGCTCCCTTAGCCATAAAAGGCATAACTCTGAGGTGTTTGTATCTGTTCATCTCCCAGAGCTCCCCATTGGGAGTAAGCTCCAGTTACCCACAGTGGGAGTTTGCTTGACAATGTCCCCTTTTATTGGCTGCCTTCCCTTCTCTGTCTAACTTTCCTACCTCCTCCTTCTAGTATTGCCTGGAATTACCTCCTAAGCAAATGCTACTATACTTGAACCCTTGTGTCAAGGTCTTCTCCTGGAGAAAATCAAGCTAAGACAAATGAAGTAATGATTCATCAGCCTTACACCATATACTAGCTATTCTCATAAAGTTTCTCACTTCTTCCCTTTGCTCTTTATCCTAGATGCTAACTTGGAGTGTTATTTATGATAGGCACAGAGCTAATCATTATATTCTTATGGTGCCTAATCACACTACAGTTCATTCAGCTGAAATGCATCAAGCCACCAGGTTTTACACACTGTGTTCAGTGCTAGAAATACCAATATAAATCAATATAAATAAGACATACAATTTTTGCTTTCAGAAGTTCATAGTCTCGAGTAGAAAGATTTATCAACTGGTGACTATTAATATATAGTAAATACTTGAAAGCCCTCAATAAATAGTTCCTGTGTACCTGAATAAATAGGCATCCTTCTAGCTCCCATAATTTTCTTTACTTTTTTCATTGTGTTCTTTATTTCTTTATACAACATTGTCAGAAAAGAGCAAGAGCAGTGAGTACAGGTCATAAGTCACATGTTAGAACAAGTCCCCTTTGTCATGTCTGCAGTAAAAGGAGGGTCTATTTGGTCCATTTGTTTAGAATAATGCATTGTGAGACCAAGACTGTAAGTCTCACCTTGGTGAGACATATGGAAAAGAAAGCAGGAAAGAATTAACACAAATCCACCACCATTGCTAAGGAAAGAGCTTGAAATTGTCACTCATGGTGGGATAATAGCATCATGCTTTTTAGTGAAGGAGATAGATTTATGAAAAGAATCATGTGGAAATCTTCCCCTTCACCCAACTCATTAATAGTAAAGGTCCATTGGGAATGTCCTCTTCAGCAGTCAGGGATCAGGAGGGTGCTACCTAGTCCATACGCATTAAATTCAGTAGTCCCTTGCCAGATTAGCCATGACTTTCCATACAGAATAAGTTAAATAACTGGAGAGATGGATGGATACACATAGAGATATCTACTGAAGGATATAATGAACTCATAATTCCTTGCCCACCATCAACAACAACAGCAAAACATGAATCGAATTACTTTAAAATAATTAGGAGTTGTTTCCAGTTTAAATATATTTTCATCAAAGGTTTAGAGCCAGTCTTGTTAGCAGATTAGAAAGAAAACAATTCTACTTTCACACATGATGTCATAAAGTGATTTAGAATGTGAGCACCATCACAGCTAGTAATCACAATTTGAAGACGTTCGCCCTCGTCTTCTGGGGGCTGGTGGGCATGGTGGAAGGAGGCAGCCACGGCGGCTGCCAGTCTGACGGTTTGAAGAGAATGCGATCTTTCCCCTGAACAATTTAGTACTCTGTTGGGCAGGTATAGCCTACAATTTATGCCCGTGGGGTTAAGTGTTGAAGGAAAGGAGATTTAAAACTCACCTGGGGGGTTCCTCAAATGAATCACTGATAAGGGGATATTGTGTTTATATGGTTATGGTCACCATGTTGCTGGGCCAGCCCTCTCTAAATGAGCGACATGAAAAACAAAACTCTTCCTTGCCCTCCCATTTCGTTCCTTTTCAGACAAAAAGAAAATGGAGTCATCCACACCCATGTGCATGCATGTGTATGCACACACACAGGCACACACACACACACAGGCAAGAATATTTTAAACCCCTGTACAAAGTCAGACATGGTAACTTTGCCCCTGAAAATTTTCGCAGCCAGCCACTGTTTAAACAGGGAATCAGTAAGTGGAGATGAAATTTGTATTATAATATATTCAACTCCTGTGCATGATTGCCAGGGACAAACGAACAGAGATCATTTTAGAAAAGTACACTTCAGGGGCGCCTGGGTGGCTCAGTCGTTAAGCGTCTGCCTTCGGCTCAGGTCATGATCCCAGGGTCCTGGGATCGAGCCCCGCATCAGGCTCCCTGCTCAGCAGGAAGCCTGCTTCTCCCTCTCCCACTCCCCCTGCTCGTGTTCCCTCTCTCACTGTCTCTCTCTCACTGTCAAATAAAATGAATTTAAAAAAAAAATCTAAAAAAAATAAAAAATAGAAATAGAAGAGTACACTTCATCTTTTTTCTTTATTATTTGTAATGAGCTTTTGGAAAATAGTAACAAAGTAACTGTCCCTCTCACCCCTTTGTTAGATTCAGTATGAGGAACTCACAAACACTAGGAATTTCCGTTTTGTAGTGTTTTCTGATTGTATTTCTAAAAAGAAAGAGGCTTAGGGTTTTATATGTTTGTATTATTTAAGGGATTTTAAATGTGTGTGTTGAAGCACGGGGAAATAAATCCTCGGTTTAGCAAAACTCCCCTATTTTGAACTAACTAAAAGGGAAACCGCCTGAATTAATGACTGTGTTGGAGTCAATGTCATCTTTTTCCCTCCTGAGTATCTTCAGTACCTCACACCAGGCTAATAAAATGTTGCCTAGAAGCAGTCATTAGAGAAACTACTAAATAAGAATGTAAAGGAGTCACAATTTGTAGTGTATCAATTGTTTTAAGGGAATATTCCAAAGCACCATTTACATAAACCAATTAAAGACAACCCCAACAAACTTGTTTACATGATAAAATCAAGCCATGGGCTCCCATAACTAGAAAACTAATAGTCCAAAAGTTTGTAGACATTTACACAGTAAGCTTGCTACAAGTGTTGAGTCGTACCACGCATCCACAATTCTGATAGTCACCCATTTTACTTACATTGGACAAAGAAAAGAAACACTGATGATTCTCCATAAACAGATACACACAGATACCCATCCTTTGTGGATGGTTAGCACAGAAGAAATAAAAACCTCATGCCTATTTTGCTCCTGCTATTGGGGGCCTGTAGGAATACCATGAAGGGTGAAAAGTAGAACATCTGGAAAAAAAAAAAAAGAAATCAGCATACTGATCACAAATAAATGGCTGTTCTGGAACAAAAGAAAGCAAAATATGAACAACAAAAATAGTCTTTTTGGTCTCCCGGGAAATAATTTTAAATACATACTTGTTTTTAGGATGCAAAACTCATGTTATCAGAGATCAAACAAACAAACAAAAAACTGTTGCAATTATAGTTATGGTCAAATGCTGATGAATCGATTCAAGGTAGAGTAGAAATGAGAAGAGAATTAAGACAGCACCTTGTAAAACATGATTCTCCTAATCAAACTAGGAGACCAGACAGCAGGCAAATGCCAAGAAATAAGGGTCTGATGTCTGCCCTTTCCAGGACATTTGTGTTAAAGAGCAATGTAATTTTTAAAATGTGGGAGATAACAGTGCCCAGTCAATGAAAACAGTACATTTAGAGTATGTAATGAAGAATTTTCCTTTACAGGCAGGGATAGCAAACACTGTTGCTGGACTGATTCAGGATAATTTACCACCAATTCTGTAAAAGGTACTCTAAAAATCATAACGAAAAACAATCGTTCTTTGTTTTAGCTTCAGTCAGCCTCTGTTCATCAGTTATCAATAAGGAAAAGAAACGACTTATTTTTGTTATTAAGAAAACACTGAAATTTCCTCCACTGGTCCCTTCATCATTTTAATTTGAATTTCAGAGGCTCTTATACAGCATCTAAGCCAACATCAAAGATGCAGGAGGTGAAATGATTTCCTCATTCTCCTAAATATTTGGAGACCAGACTTCAACTGGATGGGCTATCCTGACTCTCTCTCTAAGACAGCTGAGGGGACTGAATGTTTCTTTGGTGCAGAGATAGAACAATAGCCAAGAAAGACATAGCAGCTCACATTTCCGTTTTTGTTTTTGTTTTGTTTTGTTTTCTCATCAGTGTCACGGAATCATCAACGATTAAGTGTCCTGGTACAAACTGCATGGCAATATTTTTACTAAAATAGGGAGAGTCTGAAGAAAGTGTATTTTAAGACTTTCAGTGTAGTTAGTCCTTGGCTTCTCTGCTAGGATGGTAAAGGAGAGTCAGGCTTCATTAATGTCAACTCTGATAGAATTGCTGGGGACATGGGGACTTCAATTGTGGAGAGGTGGACTGAGTCTACCAATTCTTTTTAAACCAACATTTAACAAAGCTTTCTGAAAATATTACATATGGCATGTATCAACTTATGACATGTGGCCAATAACAACAGATGTAAATTTAACTTGGGAAATTAGATATGAAAGGCATACTAACTCATTAATAACTTGTATTATTGAACTCTAGAGACAATACACAAGTAATTAGGCATGACACAGTCAGAGGAGAGTTTTGACCACCAGCTCTGTCACCATCAAGGGTGCCGTGTAGGATTTTACAGGAGCGGGGGATTTGGAGGTGTACTTTTTGAATGTTCCCAGAGACTTGATACTGAAAAGAGCCTTATGGCATACATGTCAAGGTTACCTAGGAACAAAGACAGTGGTAGCCAGGAAGAGCTGCATTACTGTTGAGAGATATATTTTCATTGGAAAGGCAAGTCAACAGTGGATAAACAACATAAGGAGTAATAATGTCATCCCCTGGAATTGGTTATCATCGGTGGGCAACAGCCCAGCTGTGGAGGGGATGATAGAAGGAACAATTATAGTCCTTTCATCCAGAAGCCTGTATCCCACCTGAGACATCTACAAACAAAGGAGTCCATAAGAATACACACAGATAGAGTTACCAAAAATAATGTACTGAAGATAATGATCATTATCATTTAGAAGAGATATTTAGCATTAAAAAGAGAGGAGTCAAGAAAGGCTATTAGAGGAATTACAATAAGGGCCTGGTCAATTGAATTTCAAGGTGAAAAAGGACAGAAGTGCATCTAAGTTGTAAGGTGTAGGTAGAAATGGCCACTCTTTCAAAGGGATTTTGAGTAATTAGACTGGATGGAAGCATTAGGTTCTGGACGGTGAACTTCTTCTTTTTTTTTTTTTTTTAAGATTTTATTTATTTATTTGAGAGAGAGAATGAGAGAGAACACATGAGAGGGGGGAGGGTCAGAGGGAGAAGCAGACTCCCTGCCGAGCAGGGAGCCCGATGTGGGACTCGATCCAGGGACTCCAGGATCATGACCTGAGCTGAAGGCAGTCGCTTAACCAACTGAGCCACCCAGGCACCCTGGACGGTGAACTTCTTGGTTGCCACACTGAAAATGACATTATTTTCTAGAACAGGGCTGCCCGATAGAACTTTGTGTGATGAGGGAACTGCCTGATACTTGCACTGTCCAGTATCGTAGGCATATGTGGCTATGGGGCATTCGAAGTCTGGCTAGTGCAACTGAGAAACTGAATTTTAATTTTATTTAATTCTAATTAATTAAAATTTAAATTTAAGTAGCCGCATGAGGCTAGTGGTGTCAGTGTTAAACAGCTTGGCTCTGGGGAGTAGGGAATCGCTGTAGGTTTTAAGCAGGGAATGACAAGATAAAAACCGTATTTTAGGTGAGTTAATTTGGCAGCAGTGTTTAGGAGAGTTAGGTGGAAAACGAGTAGTTCTCTTGAGATTGTACTGAATGTATAAATCAGTCTGGAAGAACTGACATCTTTAAAATGTGAGTCTTCTAATCATGAACATGATGTATTGCTACATTTATTTAGGTTTTCCAATTTTTAAACACCTCTGAACAGGTTTTATAAGCTTATAGCAACATAGTTCATAATAACAAAAATATGGGAACAACCCAAATGTTCATCGGAAATATAATGTGTAAGTAAAATCAGTGGTGTGTTCTATTGCCAGGAAAAGGAGAGAGCTATTACTCTGTGCAGCATTTTGAATATATTAGGTAAATGAAGTAAGACACAAAATGGTACACTTGGTATTACTCCACTCAGAAAAGATACAATAATAGGCAAAACAAAATTGTGTTATTTATATGAATTGTAAAATCATATAGAAAAGCAAAGAAATTACTTATTGCAAAAGTCAGGATAATGATTCCTTCTACATGGAAGGGATGCAGTTGCAACATGGTATATTTCTAGGATTACTGTTAACCTGGTTATTTCTCAAGCTGGGTGGTTTGTGTCGTCAAAGGTTATCCATATTTCGTTTATATGTTGAAAATCATAGGGTTTAAGAAAATTCGCTACTTGTTGGTTATAATTCATCCTACTTGACAGTCTTTCATTATCTTATTTCACACTTGTGTAATTTCATATTGATGAAAAATCTACTCTTATTGGCGAGTGCTAAAATTTCCGGTACTGATAAGATTCTGAAGTTAGGTGAGCTTGCTAAGGCAAGAGTAATGATAATCATAGAGCACCTGACAAGTGATTAGTAAAAGGGACCTCTCACCTCTCTACTCCAAAAATAATAATAATGACCATAAGACTTCAAAATAAGTACACCTATTTGACAAATAAAAAAGCAAAAAAAAAAAAAAAAGAATGGTAACGTGAGTCAGTGTCCAGGGTTCCCTGTATTTTATAAATTTCTAAAGAATATCATCCAAGTGAAACTAACATTGGATATGACAGCTGGATGGTTTAGAAAATAGCATAGGAAAGAAAAGAGAGATGAAGATTTTTAAGAGTTCTAAAATTTGATACAGTAATCTCAGGAGCAGCTAGAAGATTTAAAAGAGAAATCTTGCCTGCATTCTCTAAAGTTTTCCTATACTTCTTATTTAGTCACTCCCTGATTCCTTGAAGTGCTTTTCAGTGACAGAGAGAAGAGTGGAGGATTGTTTGGGAAGGACAAGATGCAGGGGGGCGGACAGAGCATCTTGGGAGAGAGGAGGAGAGGATCCTGAAGAAAGGGAAAGACAGTTACTAGACCCAGCGATGGAAAGAAACTAAACATATTCTGAAATTCAGAGGCCTGAGCAAAGGAAACCACGGGGGAGCTTCTCAGGACCTGGAAAGGGAATACGGCACCAAGAATCCAAAAGGCCTGCGTGCAGTCCCCTGACGTGTGGCAGAATTGCAGTGAGAGCCCACCCAGTAATTAATCCTAAATGCTGAGAAATGGGCACATCAGCAGTACGTGTCTTTGCTTTGTTCTAGATTCTGAATCTGAGTTTTTGTCAACGGCAGTGGCTTTCTCTTCTATCAGTAACACTCAGCACGCGTCTACCACATTTAACTCTTTTCTGTTGATATAGCTATGAATGTGTTACAGACATCTTTGTACAGTCAAAAACAAAAACAAAAACAAAAAACCTTACCTTTATTTCAAATGATGTTTTCACAAGAATCCACATTGCCTCCTGATTAACTTCTCTACCACCATTAATCATTAATGGAAAAGTACAGTTGTACCTATAAGGACTTCATGGTGTAAAATTTAGGCACCAGAGTGGTAGAGACAGACCTCTTTTGAAAGCTTCTCCTCCCCGCCCCCCTTCCCCTAATGGATTTAACATCCTTAAATTGCAAAGGCAGGACAGATAGGTGATGTTTTGACAAAATGAGCTTGGTTGTTCGGAAGCAGCCCCCAAGGCAAAAGCTCTGAATTGGGGGCCTGATGTGGATTTCTCCATAATGCAGATAAAACTTCATGATATATTTAAATCCTTTTCCGCAAACATTTCCCTGATTTGTTGCCAAGCTGTCACTGAATTTAGTAATCCAGACAGATTACCATAGGGGTTCTATTTTTAGGGTCCTTCTGTTACTGTGGCAGTTGCAGCTGATCGGATTACAGCTATATCCTACCCATGTAAAATGCATTGATGCTTCAGAAGGAACCTGCACTCCACTCCTGTAATTATAATGTCAGACTCATCGCTGGCTATTTCTCTCTGAATTTATTTTGTAGCTCCGTTGTGGCTGATCCATTATTAACTCATGAGATGGTGTGTTGTCTTTTAGTTTTGCTCTTTGCCTTTCAATACTAGCTCACTAGTGTGTGTGTGTGTGTGTGTGTGTGTGTGTGTGTTGGGGGGTGGGTGATGGAAAATGCATGCTGTGGATCATAGAGGACATATATAATTTCTCTGATTCTAAAGGCAGAAAAATATGCAACGTAGACATCACTCTCCTATAAACGACAATATCTCCATCTAGTGGTGAAAACGAGCATAATAATCGTATTACCTTCACTGTCCGATGAGGAAAGAGGCATTTATGAATTTGTCTCAAAACATAATTTGTATTTTACCTACAGAATATAAAAATTTTCCTAAGAGAAATAGATGTTCACATAGCCAAACTGAACTTCTTCCTGCAGGCTTTGCAAGGGAGAAATAAGTCCATTTACTTCAGAGAAAGTTTGGCCTCCGAAGATGACTGCCTCTCAATGTTTAGGTGTGCGAGATTTGTCAATAATCTCTTCCATGATTTTTTTACGAGGCATTGGAAGGAAGACAGTTATAAAGTATAGTGAAATAGCAAGTTGAATTAATTTCATTTGGATTTTTGTATTTGGTCTAAGAAGTAAATTTCCCAAGAAATTTCTCATCTCTCATAAAACTACCTTTTCTTAATTTCATAGTGTTTACACCCCTGTGAACTAGTATATATTATACACACATATTCAGGTAAATTACATTTTTTTCCTTGAATGAATAAAGGCTAAAGAAGAATGTTGAGGTTTTCCTATTTCATAAATTACTGCAATCTCAATCCAAAAGTCCTTGCCATATAAAACCAGTAATTAAAGGATGTCTTTCACAAATGCTCTTGATTATGTTCCTGCTTATTTGTTAATGCAAACTCGTGATTGTTTTTAATTAATTTTCCATCCCGTATCAAGTTATATAACTTGTAGTAACAAATGTATTTACGTAAGTATAAATATATAGTCATCAGGCAATGAAGACAAATGAAGACAAACACCGAATTTGCAGCAAAGCCGCACCAGGTGGCAGCACTCATGTGGGCATGTTCAAAATCCTGGTCCTTGGACTGAGAGTACTCAAATCTCCATTTTTTTGGTGTGCCACAAGAATTTAGTCTCTCCAGAAGGACTGAGTCCAGTAACCCAATACAAAAGAGTCCGACCTTTCAAGTCAGAATGCCAACTTATTAATGTAAAATTGAGGATAGTCCTTTCCTGAGACTGTAATACCAGAATACACAGAGAGCGATCATAGAGAGATAGGTATAGAAATAAATACAGATGTGTGGGCATATACACATGTCTATTTCCCAGTTCTGTGCCCTGAGCAGCCCTAAAAGCAATCACATCACAGTAGCTATGCACACCTAGTGAACAGATCCTGGTTCCGAAAATGATTCTCCCTTAATGGAGGTAGGGCTCTTCGGAGAAGTGAATGATTCCAGGGCTCTGTAAGGAAGTACAAGATGACCTTGCAGCTTATTTTTGCCCAGAAAATATGGAAGTTCTCAGAATAGTCTGGACATGTCAAAATGACACAGAGGCCAGACCAAAGAGGCTCCCAGCGTTTAACCTCAGACAATATGCACATCAAAATAAATTATGATATTAATGGGTTATAAGATGTCAGAGTTACAAATGTCAGAGATAAACTGAGGGACTATTCCAGAGTGAGGAAGATGAAAGAGACATGACAACTAAATGCAACATGTTGATCCTGGATTAAATCTTGGACCAGATATTTGGGGGGGTGGGTAGTGGTGGTGGCAGGTAGCTCTAAAAAGACATTATTGGGACAACTATGAAACATAAGGTAGGTCTACAGATAGAAATGGGTAAATCCACCTGAAAATAAATGCATTTTTACTTCTGATGTTTTAAATCAAAAATTCTTATTACAAACCTATACATCTATTTCTTAATTTATGAACATAAACCTAGCATTTTGTAATATAGAAAGGTGGTAAAATCCTATTGATGGATAATTAGAATAGAAAAAAATGACTCAAAACTTGTGCAGGAGAAGGCTGAAAAACAGATGGGTACAATTTCTTTCTGTGGAATCACAAAGTGGCCAAGCACAACATTGGCAAAGATGGGGACAGTGAAGGGTCAGAGGCTGAGCTTCTGTATTTACAGCTGGCTGGGCTATATACCCCCAAATAATGACCCAAAAGAAGAAGGTAATCAGGTGGATACACCCTTCTCCAGCTCCCTCTTGGGGTGCAAATGAGGGAGGGTGTCAGCGAGAGAGAAGGCTGAGAGATTGCAGGGTTACGGTCCAGCTGGCTTCTTGGCCAACCCCAGAGACATGCACCTCTAGACCTCCTCTTATGAGCAGGAAATAAATCCTGACTTAAGCCATAATCCTTCAGGTTTTCTTTTATCTGGAGCCAAAATCATTCCAAAACCGATTGAACATTTAAATGTGCAAATGCAATCATTAGAAAAAATAAAAAAATAATGATAAAATTAATGAATATTTGTAGGAGCAGGTGGGCCTGGGGAGGGTAAGAAAGATATCTTCATCTTTTGCAGGAGAGATGTTAAGACTTCCTAATGTTCATAAATTAAGAAATAGATGTATAGGTTTGTAATAAGAATTTTTGAGTTAAAACATCAGAAATAAAAATACATTTTCAAGTGGATTTACCCATTTTCTCAGACAATACAAGAACAAATTAGGAAAAATTATGTAAATGATTTAAATGCCAACATTTTAAATAAAAACAATACAAATCATATATGTTGGAAATATGAAATGAGATCTCATATAATGTGACATATCATTCTCTTAATAGCATGTGAATATTTATTTGTGCAGATCAAAAAGTACGTTAAAAAGTACATACCAAGATTCCAGGTATTACTCGAGTCTCTGTTTTGCAGTTTGTTCTCAGGAATGGACAAAAGAAAGTCAAAATATTTTTCTTTTTTCTTTTTTCCTTCTATGCAGCTGAGAAGGAATAAAATGCTCCCAGTGTAAAGAAAATTTATTTAGTCCTTGGAGCAAAGTTTAAAGATCCCTGGAAAGATGTAATTATATAATTACCTGATTTTATATGCTGTCAATGCATGCTTTTTCCCTCTCTAACATTTCCATTTTCAGTACTCTCTTTTCATTTCTCCTCATTGTGTCAGGTACATTTCCTCAGTTTGATACTAATAGTCTTAACCATTTGAAAATCCCCATTTAGAGTGTGACCTGACTTCGAGCAATCTGCAATAAACCCAGGGGTCTGTTGGCAAAGCACCAAGGGCGAGAAGCAAAGAGTATTTAAAAGCAAGAATCATGCATCCAAGGACAGGGATGCTTTCTGCCAGATTGCTGTTTTCAAATTACTGAGTTCTAAATGAAGTTACGCATTCTTATTAATAATTTGCAGTCTTAATAACCAGCAAAATGCTCCTGGATAGTCAACATAACTGGGATTTGTTTGTTTGTTTCTACCCCAGCGTGGGCGGCAGTCAGGATCCTCACCACATTTCTGTTTCTTACCAGCACAGTAATGATGAGTCTGGTAAGACGCTGCCGTGCCTTATCCTGTCTCTCATAGATCCATTCACTTCTTCCAACAGGACCAAAATTCACGTTCAGATTAAAAGTGCAGATATGGTGAGCTTTGGTTCCCTGGAGGACATCCAAGCGTTCAACAAAGCTAGAACTCTGGGGAGTCAATGCTTACACATTAGATCGGACAGTCATCAAAATGTGAATGGAAGACAAAAACATATGTGTGGATGATATCATATGACCGTTGGTGAGCCAAGTATACCACCGTGGTTAATATAGACCGAATGTGTCCTCCCGAAATTCATATAGTGAAGCCTAATCCCCAAGTTGATGATATTAGGAGATGGGGCCTTTGGGATGTGCTTAGGTTTTAAGGGCCATGAATGAGCGCTCATGAATGAGATTAGTGCTTTTACTGAAAGCGGCTGCAGAGAGATCCTTCACCCCTCTGCCATGGAAGCTTATGGGAAAAAGACAGCCAGTCCTCTCTGAACTGGGAAGAGGGTTCTCACCAGACACTGAATCTAGACTTCCCAGCCTCAGATCTGTGAGAAACAAATTTCTGTTGTGTCTAAGTCATCCAATTTGTGGTATTCTGTTAGAACAGCCTGAAAGGGCTAAGACAACCACCAACTCCTCAAGCGTAGGCAAAGGAAGAGGAACCCATTAAAAAGGAGGAATGGAGAGGACCAGGAAGTCACAGAAGGAGGGGATACATAAAATAGCACATCAAACGCAGCAAAGGAGCCCAGGAAAATAAGTGCTGGCAATGGTTATTGCACTGATAGTCACCGTGGGTTGGCCAGGGTCATTTCAACAGAGTAGCCAGGAATCAAGGGGAGTGAGGAAGCAAAGCTTGTCACTGAGGTGAACTCTTAGGAAGTATGGACTTGGGAGGACAAGAATGACTTGTGCATTTCCTACAAATCTGCAGTGCAGTAATCAAACGCAGTGTACAACAGAATTAGAGAAAATGGATAAGTTGGCTTTCTAATGCCTCACTTTGAATAAAAATAATAAATATAATACATAAAACCATTACTCTGTTTTTAGTACACATACAGCTTTTCCCCTTGTTGATCATTTTTATGCCTTTCTATTATTTTAAAAATGTTTTTCTATACTCCTGTCAACAGTTATGTCTCTGGGCTAGATTGTAAACCGTAGGAGGAAATAGAACGTGCTGGTTCTGGTTCTTTTACACTTCCTTAAGCGGTTCTTTGTATACACTTAGGAGGAAGTTCTTAAAGTTTATCACTAGATGGCGGTAAAGGTCAAAAGTTGAAGGAAACCAGGCCAGAAAACTTCCATGAGTAATAAATAATTTTGAGATAAATGATGAAGGTGCACATTTGAAATCAATATAAAAGTTATATTGTCAAATGCTATTGGTAATATTTATCTGAAAATAATGCTGACACACCGTTGGTGCTTAAAAAGCAGATCCTCTTGGGGAAAGCAATGGAAATATGAAAGCCAAATGGTTAAAAAACACACCTTAGTAACGATGTGCCTGTTTTGTATGACAGCTACACCCTCCACGACTCCTAGAGACAGACTTACCAGCTTTTTAGACAATACGAGAATCATACCTAAAATATTAAAGTCCAATTCTGTGCCTTCTGTCAGAAAACATGCATTTCCCCAACAAGTAGAGTAGAGCAATTTCTTCACTTAGTATTTTATCATTCTTCATTCTAGCATTCTCTTCATTTTTTAGGAATAATTGGCTAATGCAAAAAATAGAAAATAACATTAAGACAATGCATAATAATTCTCACTGTATTTAATGGCATTTTTTTTATTTAAAATAATTTTACAGTCTCTAATTTTTTTGCCAGCCTTTTATTTTAGAAAGTTATAGGATTCTTTGCTGTTTTTGAGCATATTTATCATTTGATTCTTTGCATAATGTGAATAGTTATGATAAAACAATTTAGTTATATAGCTTTTGCCCTCCAAACAGCACCATCTGTGACCTTTGATCAGAAAGAATCACAAAAACATGATGGTTTAGTGAATAGCCTGGTGGATCGGATGTTCTTCCCCTCAGTCTGTTTTGATGTAATTTTTCACTAAACAGCCCCTGCGATGGTTCACCCGTTAATTAATTGAAGTGGGTAGCTTATGCTTACAGTGGTATCAGACGCCAGGGGCGTATACTGAACGAGACAGTATTTCTGTTTTTATTTTGTATTGTCTTTTAAGGTGGAGAATCCTTGAATCTTTTCAATGAAAATAGGAAAGAACCAGTAAAGGGACAGATTTAAAATAACAAAAAAGCAATAATGAGTCCCATGGAGTATAATGCTTCCCTAGGAGATGCATTTATGTATCTGTTCTACATAATCCACCCAAGCACAGAGAAACTAGGAAGTACAAGGGGCCAACTGTATCCACTTAAAAAAAAAAAAAAAAAAACCCTTCATATAATAAATTATTTTACTTCAGTGTTCCTTTACTTAAGAAGCAAAATTTGTAATTTTACATGAAAGTGGGGATTTTCTTGTTTGATATTTTGTTTCAGGAAAAAGATATAAAACTCACCCAAAACAAAGTATCAATATTTACTTGTAAGTTTTTTTTTTTTTTTTTAAATCTTGGAAAAACTATCATACATGACTAGGTCCTAAACTTCACATGAGTCATAGCTCAGATGTAGAGTCAATGTACAAACTCTTATTTTGTCTTCGGTTAATCAGGTCTTTCCCCGAAGTTCCCAAACTCTGGAAGAAAGAATGATCTTTGAATCCTCTCTAGTTAAGGACAGTGCCTCTGGGAACATATGGCCAGTCTCTCACATCCCAAGTTCACCTCCAGTGTCAGGTGTCCTCCAGGTAGACAAGAGACGTGAGCCGGCAAACAGAAAGGCCAGCGGACACTGAGCAGAGACCTCAGCCTTTTCCTCTACAATGACACCCTTCCATCGAGCATACTCCAGAACATCCTGGAGAGTAGCCATGGGGAAGAAAAATGGAAGAAAAACAGAAACGAAGCTCTTTTTTTTCTGGACAGGTAGAGGAGTGTCTAGAAGATGATTAAATCAGACCAAAATTCACACCAGATGGCACTAAAAGTTCATGTTTCCCCTCCTTAAACTGAGTATGAGGGTTTCTGATGAAGAATAGATTATTTTTAGACAACATAAAAGAGTTACATTCTGGGTCAGCTTCATGACTACACAACTTGTACAGTGACCGAGGTTCAGAAATTGTCCCTTCAGAAGAGCCCCACACTTGGTTTAATGGTCTGCTCCTACCATCTTGAAATTGTTAAGCTTTGGATAAGGACCCTCACATTTTTATTTTGCCGCACAGCCATGCTTGGCTATATTTTCTCTGCTTCTTTATATTATGCTATGACTTCATTTTTTTAATCCCACTAGAGATAAGCGATGAAGTTTTTTTTTGTTTGTTTGGTTTTTTTTCCTTTTCCTTTTGAGAATTACTGTAGCAGTTGGTTTTTCTAGGACTAGAGGGAGAAGTTTCATGTGTGCTTCTATGATGTTTTACTTCTGTGGCAATAGATTTAGAAAGATTAAAGTAGAGGACTGAACGTGGAGGATATAAAAGGAAAATGCACAGGATAAAGATATTAAAGTGTAAAAGTTGAGACAGTTGAAATCAATAACCGGTTTGCATTCTGACAACACGAACTTTCCAGTCGTTACAGTCTTTGTGAAAAATGGAATGGCAATAATTATTTCCAGTTAGAAGCAAGAGGCTATTTCCATTAGGTCCAAACAAAACAGCCAGATGGGTTGTTTGGTAGATGACTCAGCCTGGGACCAAGCTTGAATTTCTGTGGATTCCCGTGGTAGGGCCTAAAACACACACACAGACACACACAGTGAACTTCTTGATGTGCACATATATTCAAGTCATTTTTGTTTCCTTTTCTCTCATATCTATTTTTTGCATTCTGCTCTGCTCCTTTTCACAGATACTTCCCCTACCTTTACATCCGATCCATGCGTGGTTCCATATTCAAAGAAAAAGATACTCAATAAGTAAGCTTTCCACTCCTTTAAAAGCTGACGCTATTGAATGTAATAATCTACAGTGACAGGAGAATATACAGGATATAATCCGCAACTAATTTACTCCATGAAACCATTTATTTTTGCAGTAGCTAGGAATGATCTGACATTTCTGATACTCTAGGTCATATTGTAACACACAGCCATAATAAAGGAAGGTTTTATTGGTAGAAACGCATTCCTAGCCCCTTCATACTAGCAGCTGTTACTATATATTAATATTTCCCGAGTTTTTTAGGTGGTGCTAGAAGCTGATTATCTCACTTAATTTTCATCACAACTCATCATTACATATGAGTAAACTGAGGCACAGAGAAGGTAAGAAACTTGGCCAAGCCCCACAGTCAGTGAGTGGTAGGACTGGGTTTTGCGTCAAGCAGCCTAATTCTTTTTTTTTTTTTTTTAAGATTTTATTTATTTGACAGAGACAGCGAGAGCAGGAACACAAGCAGGGGGAGTGGGAGAGGGAGAAGCAGGCTTCCCGCCGAGCAGGGAGCCCAATGTGGGACTCGATCCCAGGACCCTGGGATCTTGACCTGAGCTGAAGGCAGTCGCTTAACGACTGAGACACCCAGGCGCCCAAGCAGCCTAATTCTTAGTTATGGTTGTGAAAACGCTGACTTGTGAGTCAAAAAGTAAACAGTGGTGACAATTGTAGGAAGGCGCATTGTTTACACATCAACACTAAAGAAAGGATTTGGAAGATGGGTCAGTTTGGTTAGTGAGTCAATATCTAAGTTTCGACATGACTGCATTTTAGGTTTCCAGATACCAACAAGCTCTTCTTTTCCTGTATTTCTGGCTCAGCCTGAAGGAGGTACGCAAACTCCAGGACAAGGATTTCTTTTCACACCCTTCATTATTTTTTTTAAGTCATTTTAGTTTGAAGCTAAGAATGAGCTTCATCTAATTTAATCACCACAAGATTTATAGCAAGAGATGGATGGAAAATAAAAATTCATTCAATCATATTGACTATTTGGCCTATCATTGCTAATCATCTTAGTGTTTGGAGGCACTAATTTTTTTTTCACTTTCTCTCGGGTGGTTTAATGTTAGCTGTCCCTCCAATTTCTTATTGCACCTATTAAATGTCACTTGAACTCCATTAGGTCAATCCTTACAGCAACTCTGTAAGGCAGGTGTTGGTCCCAACAGTACTAGAAGTAGCAGTAGTAATGATAATCTTACTGATGAAGAAGAGTAGTTTAGAAAAGGTCATTATTGGGCGCCTGGGTGGCTCAGTTGGTTAAGCAACTGCCTTCGGCTCAGGTCATGATCCCAGGGTCCTGGGATCGAGTCCCACATCGGGCTCCCTGCTCGGCAGGGAGTCTGCTTCTCCCTCTGACCCTCCTCCCTCTCATGCTCTCTGTCTCTCATTCTCTCTCTCTC